CAGTTCTTATATGCATAAATAATGAAATATTTTTAAAAAGAAAGCCTGGTGTACAATGATATTTGTACAATTTGATAAATTTACTGAAAGCCATCAAAATAGGCGAGCCGTGGCACCTACATGGAAATGTCTCGATCAAGTTATAAAACAAAAGCATGTAATTAAACTGGAAAATCTAACATGTACTAAACCCTTTGTAGGCATTTTCTCTGGTAGTGGCTTACCTGAGCTCACCTTTGTGGAGTAGTTATCCCATGTGAGGTACATGCCAGGAGACGGGGTTCTGGTGCTTACCTGGACCTGGGTGTGACTCAAGGCTCCCTCCCTGATGGAGAGCATAGTCTAGGAAAGGTGACAGGTGGAGGGGGTGGGGTGGAGGTGTGGGTGCAAAAGCCAGCACTGACAAGGGAGGAAGGACCCCGTTCAGACCCAGGGGCTACTGGGAGGGCAGAGAAGGGCAGACTCGGTTTTGTCCCTGAGGTTGGGACCTGAGGGATGAGGGCAAGTGGCCAGTGAGAGGGCAGGGGAGTGCTGTGGAGACAATAACAGTTGTTGCTCTGTCGTTCATTCACTCACCAGCTGCCCACGAAGATCTGAGTGGGCCCTTGCTGAGACCACCTCCGTGAGCGGAGATAGATGGCCTGACAAGGTCTTGGGTCATCCTGGGGTCATCGGTCACCCTAGCGAGGTACCAGGCTAGCCTCCCCTCTCATCTGGCAAACATAAACCACACGACACCTGGATCTTGCTCCTATTTCCCAGGGCTCTGTTTTCTATCATTTGCTTTGAACACATTTTTATGACCTGTTGAACATCCCTTCAAATCTGGGTACCGTTTTCCCCATTTCCTTCAGCGCTCCTGGTCTCTATTCCACATCTTCTCCAGGTTGGGTTTCAATTCTCTGTATCATCTCCTGCTCTCAGGATGGTCTCTTAGGCTCCATCAACCTGCACTCCTGCAGCTCTAGTCTGTTCACAGACGACTCACCAGCATTAGGGCAGGGGCTGGGTCACAGAATGATCTCAGGAGGCCAGAGACTTTCCAGAGCCCAGGACAGGGCTGGGCAGCTGCCCCCAGCCCCAGGCCTCAGGCTGTGCAGGGCAAAGCATCAGCGGAACAGCTCTTTCCTGGAAAAGGCTGCAGGGAGGCACTCCCCAGGGGCAGCTCCCTGACTCTTTCTGCTCCACAGGCTGCTTGGGCATCTGGTGAACCCTCAGAGTAATTTTTACAAATTGCATTTGAATTAGAATTTAGTAAAATCCAATTGTCAAAATATTTAATTTTTTCCTGGTGTAGTGACTACTTGTTTCTTCCTTAATACATTAAAAAAGACTTAATGGTGAGTCGGATATGACTTTAATTTCAGAGTTAAGTGGTATTGGAGATGGCTACAATAGCCGAATTCATATGAAAACATCTGTGATTTCTATTAGTGACAAAAACCGCAGGGACTTCTGCTGGCTGCCTGCGTTCATAATCAGAGGGAATGTTAAATATCATACAGAGGTTAGTGAAAATATAGAACTTTTGCTGGTTCCACATCATGGAGCCCCCCTCTGCACCCCCTAGAAGTTTATCCTCACCGTCTGGGGGTATCCACAGTCTCCTGCTTTAAGGTATTGAGTATTTAGGTAAGATAAATAAGATGATCACCAAGAGATGCAAGAACAAAGAAAAAAGCTGTGACCATGTTGGGTTAAGCAGAGAAAGTTTCCAGAACAGGTAGAGTTAGGGTGCTGGATGCTGTGAAGGAGAGCTGTGCTGGCGGGGAGCAAGGAGCTGGGGTTGTGGGAAGCAGACAAGGTTAGGGTTTAGTCTCCTGCATGAAAAGCAGCAGACCAACATCCCAGCTGCCACCTCACCCCAAAGCCAGCAGCATCTCCTTTGTATTTCCTTTGTCCCTGAGATCACAGTCATTGTTTCTGCAAGATCAGGTACCTGCCCTCATGCTTACCAGGAGACAAAACAAACACTGAATAACAGCAAGACAAAAATTAAATTGCAATTCCAAAAATGCAGCCACAAGAATCTGGAACATGCCGCAGACCTGGTTAAGTGCACACAGTGGGAGTTATAGGCCAGGGTCACCTCCCTGAGAGGTCTGTGGTGAGGATCCCATGGGGAAGTGGACAGGAGGCCAGCAGTGTTGGAAACCGGGGTAGACATGGCGTCTGGGGTCCTTGCTGCCCCTCAGGTCTCAGTGACCTCTGTGAAACGGGTAATAACTAAGTGTGGAACCTAGGGCATAGGAAGCATTCAGGTGGTGCTATTATTACAATTTTAAAATAACAATAAGTGTTTGCAGATTGGTTTCAGACGCTAGGAAACTGGAAAACTTGGTCTTCAGCATGGCAAATCAGAAACTGACTTGAATGAATGAAGGACCAAAAGAACGTCCGAAAGCGTCCTCCCATTGGCTCGGCTCTCCAGGCTGGCTTAGCCCTCAGCTGCCACCTGCGCTGTTAGAGGAAATGGATCCCCAGCTCTGGGGTCAGCTGTGCCTCAAGCATGTGGGGGTGGAAGGGGGTAGGGACGGGTCATTCCCGTGAGGGAGCGGCAGAGGTCACGTTCCCCAAGGGTCTTCAGCTGCTTCCCTCCTCCCCCCACCATGGCTCCCGCTCCTCGGGCCGGGACCCCGGACTTGGCAGTGTCCAGGCCCATCTCCGGACGATGAGGCCCGCAGCTGGAGGCCGGGGCAAGCGGTCTAGGAGCCTGGCCGGGGTCTACCTCGTGGACGATGTGCGACGGAAGCGCTGCCTTATCCTAGGAAGGTGGATCTAGGCCTCCCCAGAATGAAGTGGGGGTGAGGTGCGGATGCACCTTAAGATGCTGTGATCCTTGAGCCTTTCCAGGCCGAGGTCTGCCGCACGGGGTGAGAATTCGGGACTAGGGAAACTGGGGTGGGGAAAGGAAAGAAGCAGAGCCCCTTGGCTAAGGACGTGGGGGAGGGGATGCCCTAAATGGGGAAACGGGCGCTGCCGAGGCTGCTGGCTCCTTTAAGAGGCCTGGCGAGCTCTGCGGCGGTTCTAACTAACCGAGTGCCGGGTGCTGCTCTGCGGTTCTCGTCTGGGAGCAAAGAATCGGAGCCGGCTGGCCAGCAGCAGCCGGCGCAGGGGAGGGCGTGGCCCAGTTGGGAGTTGGGCGGAGCCAGAGCTGCCGACAGCCGGTCTGCGGAGCCGGGAAGGCAGCAATCCCGAGGTGGGCGGAGCCATTTGCCGTGGGCGTGGCCCGGCGCTGCGGGCCTCGGGGGCGGGGCCTCGGGCTCTGGGAGCGCCGCAAGGAGGGGAGGCGGGGCGGGGCGTAGAGGCGGGGCCTGTGTCTGCAGTGGGCGGAGCCTCCGCAGAGGGGCAGTGCCGGCCGAGAGTCCTCCGCGCGCGGCTGCCGCGGCGCCTCCAAAGCGTCTCTGACAGCCCCGGCGCCAGGACTCGGGGCCCGCGACCCTCCCGCTTCACGTCGCCGCCGCGGCCTCCACCGCTGCCCGCGTCCTGTCCCTTGCTTCGGCGCCCACAGCCGAAGGCGATCCGGCCCGCTGTCGCTGCGGAGGCCGCATCTGGCGCGCATCTGGAACCGTCCGGCTAGCCGCGCTGG